TTTTATATATTTATGTATGTTTAAGACGACTTAAACCAAACATGTCCAAAACCTAACCTCTTTGTCATCTTCAGATTTCCTATCCTCCTCCTCTTCCTCTTCTTTCTCAGACTTCTCTAGCTCCTTTTGCTCTTCTTTTTGTTCCTCTACTTTCAGCTGCTTTGTCAGTCGAGCTATCAACTGAGATTTCAGTCCTTTAGAGCTAAGAGTTCGACTTTCTAATTCTTTGCGAAGGTCATTTACCTGGTAAATAAAAGCTCTGTAAGTGGTATCACCCAGTGACATTGCAAAACATTTGATCAGCACAAAAGGTAAAGTAAAAATTAAGTAAGAGCACTGAAAAGTCAACTGTGTTTTTTAAATCTGTACTGAAAAACACTAATATTTACTGCGATATAAACCATATTACATTTGAAGTTGTGTTCTCCTCAGAGAACCCTTTTTGAAGAACTTTTTACAAGGGCAGGGAAAGGATTGTACTATAGTTTATTACTATTATTCCTTTCGAGGAAACTTTTTATTATGTCTCCTGACATACATTTTTGTATAATTATTGCCTTTTTAAACTAACATTAAAGTATTTTAGACCGCACATTTTTTAATGCAAGTAGATATGACCAGATTACTGCAGAACTTTCATTTTCCAGTTAATGCATCATATGTGATACCCTTTAATTGCACAAAGTTCAAAAGTTCAGAATAGTTTCAATTAGCTGTATTCACTTATTAAAATCAGGAGTCACACTTGCATACTGTGATATCACATCTAATACCTATAAAATCAGCAAGGAAGATAAAACACCACTGAAGTTTTTTGCTCAGTTAAGGGAATATACACTACGTTTCGCGTAATGCCTTAAAAATTAAAACGTACAATGGAATCGAATTTTAAGAAAAGTGTTAGTTACCTTCATTGTTTTTGGATCCAGTTTAGACCAGTGCGTAGGTGTAGAGATCTCTTTAGCTTCCCCATCATCCTTTTCCTCTTCGTCCTGAGAAGTAAAATTTAGAAATTATCATTCAGAAAGCTTGAAAGCATTTCAGTTATTTTTTAAATTCTGTTGCTGATCTGTGCAAGGTCACAACTGTTTCAGATAGTCTTCTCCTAAAGTTATTATTTAGACAAGTTCACACACACATTCTACCACTTTATAAATGATCACAGTGCCACTCAGCCAATACAAGCCAGATCTGTGGAACACAAAAGGGTGATAAGCAACACCACAAAGAATATTGGGGTTACACAGACACTGCTGGTCTTCATTAACCACACAGTTTGTGATCTTCCCCCAGATTTTAAATCCCCAAAATGACTCTTTGTTCAGTCAGACCTTCCCTCATTCCAAGATGCTGATCAGCCACATGGCCTGAAATTCAGATGTTTCAGACTAGTGTTTGTTCAATTTCAAATATCACAATTAGAATTGGCCACAAGAAAGAATTTAGAAATTTTAGAAAATGGCAAAATGTTTAAAGACAGCTATTCATAAACTGCATCTCACTCAACAACTGGTCCCAGATTCCAGCAACTACATCTACGATAAAAAATTTTCTGCGCATCATAAGCACAATTTAACTCCATTTGTGATACCAGCATACACATTTAAAGTTAGTGAACTAGCTGAAATAAAAATAAAAACCAACATTCACTACACTGCTGAAAGCTGGTTTACCAGTCATTGTTACCAGTTATGTTCCTCCTATGTATGTATGTTGTGTAGTATGTGGTGTGCATTTTGTGCCTGTGTTCCTGTGCCTGTGAGAAGCAGAAATAGAAAAAGGGATTAGCGTTCAGTGCCTGTTCTCCATCAGCCTCCTTGCGTTCACCCTGAAGCTTCTCGACCAGCTGCTGCTTGTATCCTCGGGAGAGGGTTTCCCACTCTGAGCGGGTGGGAAGGCAATGCCAAACATCCGGGAAAAATAAAACCACTGTCTCCACATGAGCTGGAACTGTACGCCCCTTGTGGGTCTCCTCAGGGCGATGGTAGCGAATCTCTGCAAAACGGTACCTGTTGCAAGGGAAGAAGCATGTTGGAAAAAAAATTCTACAATACATTTTAAAGAGCCTAGATCACTTGTAGCACATCAAGTAAAGAAACTTTGCTGCAAGACCTTGAAGTTTATCTAAAGAAAAAAATTATGGAAGCCATATTTTCTCTTTTGGTACATTCGTAAAAAGGTATCACAATTGAAAAGGAGAAAAAACAACAAAATTCTTTATATATAACTTGTTGTTTAGCATATGTAGGTTTAATGTGCAAATAAAAGTTGTTGAAGCATCTTAAATTTAGCATACAATAGACTTTCCTGGGATTAGTAAAACTACAGTGAGTGTTAACACAGGATAAAAACTTCATCAAGAGAAAATATGGCTATATAACAAACGGCTATTTATTTGTAACAAAAGAACAATGACATGAAGTTCTCCTGACGATCTTCTCCAGCTATGCACAAAATGAAAAATATTTTCAATGCACATTCATTAAAAAAATTACAGCATAACATGTCACAATAAATCCAGAATTTTTAATTAGTTCTTAATGCAGTATTCAGCACAGTTGGCACCAAGTAAGCTTATTACAAAACAGAACATCCTTTTGAGTAGTTTACCTGCGCTACCAAGAGCGGTCGACAGAGAAAGAGATGTTTTTCCATTTTTTTTTTAAACTCCTGGTAAAAGACAAGTATTTCTACAGTGTACTTTGCTTTGCAGTACAGTACTTACCATTGTGTGCACACACTTAAGTCAATTCCTGTAAGAGCCTTGCAACAACGAATAGCCGTCTTTATCAGCACGGAAGGGTCCTTTTCTGGATCAGGTCCATCCAGTGATGGGGACCAGTGTCCTCCAATAGCCATAGCTTCATCTTTGCCTTTCATACCCACTAAAAACTAGACAAAAAGAGTCTTCTGAATGTTCCCCTGCTGGGGTAAAGTGTAATTTTCCCAAAGCGCAAAGAATATTTCATAGCACACACATTGAAATCCGTGAGTAAACTGTCACATTATTTTGAAATCTGAAAATGAAAGTCACTCAAGAAAGAGTTCAGTTATTTTCTTCCACAGATTATTTCAGAAATGGAATAGGTTTAAAACATCATCACTCATTCTTGTTTGCAAGACTTTCCATCAAGCTTCTTTATTGGTATAGGCTTGTTCCTTTGCAAATAAAGCGCAACACAAAAGATGAACAGATACTAACTTAAATAGCATCTTAATTCTGAAACACATTTCGAGACATTC